TCTCATCCCTGTATCTCCTAATCATTTCCCAACTAGTCAAAATATGGGCTTCATGTATGTTTGGCAGAAATTGGCAAGCATCAGAACAGTACCTGAGCATTTAAATAGGGAACAAACTGAAAGAGCTCTGCAGTGCGAGCCTCTGCTGCCAACAAGACCATTGTGGACTCTTCTGCTGACCCATTAGCCTGGGTCTGCCTACTCTCCTTGTTCCTTACTTTACAACAAGAGATTCATCTGCATCCTCTGCAAGATGTGTGGCCTCAAATGAAAGGGAGGAAACGTCTGGCAAGGGGGCTCAGAAGCTTACCTTATGATACATGAAGTTGGGAAGTAGAGTCATGCGTAGGTTTTTACTTGACCGTAAGTCTCCTAACCCCTCCCCACCATCTCAGACAGCATCCTTGACCAAATGTCTCTTCTGCAGCAGAAGATGAAGAAAAAATCCCTAGTTATACCCATGCTCAGAGTCTCAATGTCAGCTTAAAAACAAAGCTAACTTTTCAGCTGCCCTATTTAAGCTGTTCAGACCCTTTCTCCAGCTTATAGCCTAGTGATTCACCACAGTGGCAAGTACCCAGAAGGCCCAAAAGGCCATGCCTGCTTTCCACCAGCATGTGCAATGCTAATGCCTCTGTATTGCTAGACCATGCCGTTAGTGGTACAGTCCACATGACCACAGAAATGTGGTCCATCTAGAAAAATAGTTGTACCATGACAGAATAAGACCAACTGTAAGAGTAATTTAATGGATCCAGGCTGCTTGGTCCATAAATTTAATTTTACAATCTTCATTGTATTGTAGAAAATTAATGGAATTTACAAAAAAATAACAAGTTTAAAATCAACCTCACCCGAAGACAACTTTGGTTAAAAATACAATTTTGTCAATCACGCACACACCCATACCACCCTGTCCATACAGCTAGTTAAAACATAGAAATTCTGCAGTGAAGTATTGTCTTCGATCTAATTGCCATGAATACGGGAAAAACCATGGTATCCATTTCTGTTTGCCTGCTTGCTGAAAAATATATATCGTTTTACAGTAGATTGATCGTTAACTACTGTAACTTCACCGTGGTGGAATGTGCTAAGACTTAATACTGCAATACTTTACTCAATCTTCACCTGGTCCCCTCGGGGAATGTATATTGTGTGTAGCTTTCAGGTTTTCATTGTAGGACATTACTTTCAATTGTAACCAAGATCTTTGTAGCATTCTTGGTATACTTCCATATTCCTTGCAGCACACTATATATCGCAGTGTATCCTTCTGATTTTGACCTGTATTTTGGCACATTCCTCAGTCAAAGAAAATACAGCATCTGTCAGTATGGTATACAGCCGCAAATCCAGTTAATAGATGATGACCAGTTTCAATGTCCATATAACCATCTCCACAACTTATTTATTAATGACATCGGGGAGGGTGTTAACAGCGATATTTCCGTGTTTGCGGATGACACCAAAATTGGGAGGGTAATAGACACGGACTTAGACATTATAACATTACAGGAGGACCTGGATAAAATAGGGGAGTGGGCATTAATGTGGCAGATGAGGTTTAATGTCGATAAATGCAAAGTAATGCACTTTGGAATTAAAAATAAACAAATGGGTTATACAATTATGGGTATGCCGCTAGGGAAGTCAGAAATGGAGAAGGATTTGGGGGTCATTGTAGACCACAAACTGAAAGGTAGTTTGCAGTGCCAGGCTGCTGTAAACAAAGCTAGCAGGGTCTTGTCCTGTATTAAAAAGGGGATGTATTGCAGGGACAAGTCTATAATTTTGCCACTTTATAGATCATTGGTTCGACCTCATCTGGAGTACGCGGTCCAGTTCTGGTCACCAGTACTAAGAAAAGATGTCCTTGAGTTGGAAAAAGTCCAGCGGAGGGCAACCAAACTAATTAGGGGTATGGAGGACCAGAGCTACGAGACAAGGCTACTAAATTTAAACATGTTCACATTGGAGGTGAGGAGATTAAGGGGGGATATGATCTCCATGTACAAAATGTTCAATGGTGGCAGCAACATTAGCGATAAACTGTTTAAAATTAACTCCATTACAAAAACTAGAGGCCACCACCTAAAATTGGTGGAAAAAAAATTCCAGCACAAGGGGCGAAGGGGGTTCTTCACAGTAAGATCAGTTAGGGTCTGGAACTCACTGCCACAGGCGGTGATTTCAGCAAATAATGTGGAATTGTTCAAGAAACTTTTGGACGATTTCTTAAGGGACCGTAATATACAGGGGTACAGGTACTCCTAGAATGAGATCCTAATAGGTTGGACTTGATGGACTAATGTCTTTATTCAACCTCAAATACTATGTAACTATGTAACTATGTAACAAGTACCAAACTTGGAGCAATCCTGGGGTATATCGATCTCACAGTCACTAATTCATGTAATTGCCAGCATCTAAGGAGTTTTACCTCACTGACAGTATTCAAGGATTTCTCACCACATTTGCTGTAGGTCACATTAAATCCATAGATTTATGGATTCTGTAGATGCGCATCCAGGCTGTATATAACGGATTCCATAAGGACACCTTTGATGGCAGCTGAACCCCGCTCATGGCAAACAAGTGGAGGACCCTGTCCTGTCCCTGTCCCTGTATGGGACCATCGTCCAGCAGGCATCAGTAAGAACAGTATATCACCTTTATGCCACAAAGGGCAAATTTGATAGCAGCTCAAAGGCCTCAGGCAGTGACCAACCAGAACCACCAGCCTCCACCAAGCACCCTAAAGAATATGCAAATGCTGAGATAAAATGCAGGAGCCACACTCGGCCGGAGACTCTGGAGGCTTGTTCCAGGCCAGGCAAGACAGAAAAATCATTCAGTTCATGCACACTATGTAAGGTGCTTTAGTAGGATGTCATGTAACAGGGAGGCAGCAAACAGGTTTATAATCAAGAAATCAAAATAAGAGTGTTTTATTTCACAGCAAAAAGGCAAAAACATTGTACTGATTCCATGCACAGTATTTAAAGTGACATTAAACCCTCAGATTTTTTAACATAAAACAATACTGTAATGTGTGCCTTACTGTAATCCATGGTTGTTTCCCTTCTCTTTGCTGCTCTTCCTTTTAAATCTGTATCTGTTCTCATGCTCTGCAGAACTTCTGTTTTGCAGCAGACTGCCTTGTCTCAGGAATGGATATACGGTGTCTGTGTATTAGTTTCTATAGGCTTGTAACCTGAGCCAGCACTACAGGAAGAGGCCCTGAGCTGCAAAGGGAAGTTCTGCAGAGCATGAGAAGACATGAGGTTTATGTTAAAAAATCTGAGGGTTTAATGTCACTTTAAGCAATTGTACTAGGGTGCATTTCGAACAGAACCTATACCACCCAGCTTTTTCCTTTAAAAAATAACAGAGTCTATTAATTTTCCTGAAAAAAGCCCTCAAAGTATTGTAAAACAAATCTGCAGTACAGTATATTTATTTTACTGAAAAAAGCTCCCAAAATATTGCAGTAGTATAGTTTGTATACTAGAGTAGTACAGCAGCAGAGAGTAGTAGAGTATGTGCAGAGTTTTTAAACACTTTGACTAGTCCACTCTGTCAACAGCTAGTTTCTATTAAAACATCTGCATTATAGTTCATTTATTATACTGTTTGGACCCAGTTTTGCAACTTTGGTATGTGTTAGTGAAACTGTACATATCTTTACAACTAGTTAGTGTACCCAAGTTAATTACATCTTCAGGACAAATTGGTCTTCATTTGATCGTTAATAGGCATCTTCCATTTTTTTTATTATCATAAGGAAAACGGGCCCAAAATAGTAAAAAAAATTATTTACAAACTTTTAGCTGTATATTGCTTGCCATCACCATGACCACTAGCAAAAAACAATCCAAAAGAAGTTTACTTTCTCCTCTACATATGTGTGCATTACTTGCTATTTGTACCCATATTATGGCTCAGAAACAATAGCGCGTGTTTTCCCTGTTTGTTTTCCATCCTGCAATAAACACACTGGCACTGAAGCTGACACTAATGGGGTTATTCACAAAGCTGGCAAAGGCAGCCAAGTGAATAACCGACCCAAAGTGAAGTGAGCCGAACAACGTTCGGCTATTCACTATGGCTCAGTACGGCTGGTTGCAGCCGTACATCGGCTGCACTTCGGTCACCCGAACATGCTCTGCATGTTCGACTGATGGGGCCGGAGCGGATCCCGACATCGACGTCGAGATCCGCCCAGCTGCGTGAGTGACAGCTGGCTCTGCCTATCTAGAGGCAGAGCCAGCTGTACCCTCCCCCGTCCGCTCCGCCAGTCAGCGCCGGAAGATCGGAGCGGGGAGAGGGGAATCCAGCCCCTCCCCCTATCACGGCAGAGAGCCGTGACAGGATCGAGAGGTGAGCGAACCCGGTATGTGTTCGCTCACTTCCCGATCTACTGAGCCGACCTGTGACAGTCTCATTGTCACAGGTCGGCTAGAACTATGAGGTGGATGGAAATCACTCATCTCATAGTTCTCCTTTAAATATTGAATGAGTCTCCACTATTAATTAAGAAATATTAATTCTTCCCTGGTAGTCCACTATTCCTTTTCTGTCGCACTTTATGCCTCCCATGGCTTGTATAAGTTTTATCTAACTTTTTTTAAGTACTTTACAACCCTCGCAAGACGAAAGTCTAGCGAGGGTTGTAAAGTGTAGGGGAACCTTTGCAAAGTTTATTTAGAAGTCTGACTGACTAGGAATGTTGAGCACAAGGTGCTTTGTTGTTTGACTCTTCTGTAAAGATATAACCTCAGTGATGTTTCCTTATAAATATTTTATCTGTGGTCTTCTGGAACATCAGATAACCTTTGACATTTTAGTTACTGAGCTACAAACTTAAAAAACATACTTAATTTCAACTAGGTAAAATCATGAACCTAATGTCATCAAGCACCAAAAGCTGGTCACAGAGCAGTTTCAATATTTTTTTCTTTCATTTCATAATGTTTTCTTTCATTTTCTGTTTTAAGGAAAGTGTGGACCTTGGAGAAATCATGTTCTCTCTGTGTTATCTACCTACTGCCGGACGCTTGACCTTAACAGTAATAAAATGTAGGAACCTAAAAGCAATGGATATTACTGGTTACTCAGGTATGTAAAACTTTACACAATACAACAAATGTGAAATGCCACATCAGTGTACTAAACCTAATAAAAATGAATTTAGTGCACTTTGAAATTACGAAAGGTCACAGGCAAAATTAATACTAGCCTTTTGATTGTTTACTTTATACTGTACATTCAGGATTTATTAAAAAATACATTTCATGGTCAATGTAAGGAACTCAAAAACAGTAAAGGAAATAAAGGAAAGGTGAGAAATACAAGCAGGGAAGACTGCATTTACTGTTTTTCAACAAAACAAAGCATTATCTGAATGTTGTGTATTTTACGTTTTGATAACATATAAGGGAAAGATTTAATTTTTGTGTCTATAGGTATCAAGCACACAATGGGGATGATTAACTAAAGGAATACAGAATGAATACAGAAAAAGGCCAATTTAACTGCAAATTCACTTTGCAAAGAATACATAATCAAGTTTATTTTTTTTTTTAAACAGGATTTTTGCTTGTAGAGAAAATGCAGCCTTAAATGTATAGTTTTAAATTAAGATAAATGTATCATTTATTTAGCTAATTTCAGGATCGTTTAATGCCTCTCATGAGACTCATTATTACTGCAAATGTAACATACTATGCCAGTAGCCAATCTCCATTTTAGGACATTTCAGTTGGTGCCATGGATCTTTACTATGCTATCTCTATTTTCCCTAGCTACATGTCTTTACCTATGAAGGCACTTATATTTGTTGTAGACAAGCCCTTGGTGGGACTTAGATCCTTCAACAGTACCTAGGGATAACTATTTTCCTTTTTTCTCTCTGTTTATTTGAATTTATGTTCATCTGTAAGAACAGATATCCACATTTCCAAACAAGTAAAAAAAAGATGAACCTTTTTAGGAGGTGTGTATAGTTTTTCAAAGCACTTTACACAGGTTCTGTTATATGTTTGCTGAAAAATTATGCAACAAACAGTGCTGTAAAAATATGCATCAGATTGATTGCCTTTTCCGTTTGGTGATAAAAGCATAAATGGATTTCCAGATAAATCATCAACTATTAAACCAATACAAACTAACCCTGACTTTGGTCTTTAGTGTCAAGGTTTTGCCTCAGATTTATCATATAAGTATAGAAATGTCGTATTCATTTTTTGTGTTCAAGCTTGAGAAAAAAAAACCTTTGTACATACAGCTTGCTACAGTGAATACTAGGGACATTTGGTAGCCGTAAAGAAAATACACTCATGTAAACCATCTTCCTAAGTGCCTGCTGTATAGAGTGCTCAGCTGTGTGTACAACTTAAACCCACACAAACAAGTAGAATGAGGTAAAGCTTCATTTGAAATCCCTCACAGCTAACATTACTACATTCATTAATTTACACCCCAAATGGCCACACACAATAGATTTTATTTATCAGCTGGACCTTACTGCAACAGGGTGCAATTTCCATTAAAATAGTTTTGGTAAACTCCAGTCCTCATGTTTTTTTTTAAAGTCTATGTAAACTCATCATCATCTATTTTTCAGTATGTTGGGCACCATGCTTTATTATATACATTTTCCTTAAGCAAATTATGTTTTGTGAATATGTTTCAAGGTTTCTGAGCTGGAGATTCTGCCAGTATCAGCATTTCTAGTTTCATGCTGACAATGCTAAACTGCTGCCTTGTATTTAGCAGCAGCATTGTCTCCCTGCAGTGTGCACTCCTTCCATTGACTGCTGGGCTCTCTATCAGGTCTGCAGAAAACACACAAAGCCCTAATAGGCAGGCCAATGGCCAGCCATTTTTTAGTGGAAAAAGAAACAGTACACAGTACACAGTACAGTGAAGTGAAGTAAAGTTATATACACCTACAAGATCATGTGCCCATGTAAACATACACAAGGGTGAGCTCTTTAGTATTGATAAACACATGCACTTAATCATAGTTGTGACCAGTCTAATTAAGTTACATGTGATGGAATTTCTATGAATCAATAGGGATGAAAGGTTAATTTTGCCTTTTTTTAAGTGAGTGTTTTTAGCCATAAATCAAAGTGAAATGCCATGGATAATACATAGACCTGGCTCTTTATAAATAAAAGGTAAGGGTTGAAAATGCACAATTTACATTTACCCCATTGTAAATATCCCTACTAGTGATGAGCTTTGGCTTGGAGCGAACCCAGTTTGCCTGAATTCACCCAAACCTACCCCACTCCCAGCCCAGTCAGTAGTAGCATGCACATTCTCCATCCAACAGCTACACATTACAAAAGGGCGGGGAATACCCCGCCGCAACAGCCGCCACTGATTCAGCTGAGAGGGGGATGTCGGGCAAAGGGGCAGCAAGCGTCACATAATAAAGGGTAGGCAAACTGGGTTTGCAGCAGATGAAAAAAAAGTTTTTCCATCTGCTGCCTGCTTCTGTGGATTCTTCCCCTGCTTTCTCTCCTCAGTGCGCACGCCCCATAAGCTCTTCATCCCTGCTCTGAGGTCTGGCAAGGCAGGGACAGCCGCGGGTCTTTTCATACAGGAGCCGCAGGGCACTCCCAGCTTTAAAGATGGCCGCCGTGCGGCGGTCATCTTTATGACACAAGAATGATGCGGCAGGCCCGCACCCGCGCAGTGGGGACGCCAATCTTGGGGACACTCAGGACCGGCCTTTAGGGACACAATCTATGTTGGCTGCCTGGCGCCCATGTTGCCATGGCACCCTGTGCGGCTGCACACCCCGAAGGCCGTCCCTGGCTGTGTAAGTGATCGCTGCTGACGCTGCCCACAATCCTGAATAGGATTGGAGTCGAGCGGCAGACTAGTTTAGCGGGGGGGCAAGGAATAACCAAGGGGGCGCAAATTGCCCCCCCCCCCCTTGCCCCCTTGTAGCAACGCCTTTGTCAGCAACATATGCTAACTTTCTTTGCTCCCCCGCCATAACCCTGTTCAACTGCTGAGTGCAAAGTGAATAATCCAACATTTTTGGATATGACTGAATATGTGACTTATTCCTCCTCCCTCATGTGACAGTGCTGAGCCAGGCACCAGTGATGTCACATGGGAAAGGACATGCCATACCCCTGGGCAACCTATGGCAAGTCAGTTTGAAACTTACACAGGTTTTGTTTTTCCCCCCGGTTCCAGTGGTGGAACAGAGCAACACAGGAGCAAGCAAGGTCAGCATACCCCCCTTTAATTTGCCCTGCATGGGGAAAAGGAAAGGCTCCCTTTAACAAAGGCAGGGGGAGCTGCAGGATGATGCTCTGAATTCACGTAGGAAGCATGAGGATGACAGCCCTACAGCACCTTTTAAAACTGACAGAACAAAGGGCATTAAGGCATATTGTATAATATATTGACAATATGCATTACTTCCCAACACTGAAAGGCATTTGTGACTTCTCTTCCTTTTATTAATTCATAGGGAAAATGTAGGTGGTCACCCCTATCCTTCTGAATTGATTTTAGGGGTAGTAAAAAAAATCCCCCTAAAGTTGCTAATTGTACGGTGGTCTATGGTGGGTCTTCTCTAGAGGCTGGAGCCAGAATCTGAAGAGAGGGAGTAGACTCTGGATTAGAAGTGAGGGGGAGCACTGGAACGGTTAAATGAGCATAGGGATCTCTGGGAAGGTTCCCGGGTTCGCCATGTGTCCCATTCAACTTTTAGCTGCCTGCCTTTATGAGCCGCCCAGGACCATCTTTAATAATTATTGGGCCCTAAGCAAGACTTTGCTGATTGGCCCCTACAACTCTCCTGCCTCGGGACTCTGCAACGCAATGGACTTGGGACCCTGCAAGTCAATGGACTCGGGACCTTGCAACGCAATGGACATTGCAGGTGTAAAAGAGAGTACTTGCCTGGCTTCTCTGGGACTTCAGATTAATGGGCTGAGCCCAAGCTGTGCTTCAGCTGTCTCAGGAGATCGAGACTTCCGAATCATCTGCATGAAGTAGGCCAGCACTATCAGCACCAACACCACAAAGATCACCTGTGTCACTCCATTGGGGACCTAGGACTGATTGCTATGAACATAGATCCATAGATCTGCACTGGTCTGTTCCCTGGATCTTCTCACATCTGCCCCCCGTGCAGAGGCCTAACTAGAAACCTCAGGGGCCCCCTGCCACGGTGGTTACTGGGTGATGGAAATTCACCATCAATTTCTGCAAAGACACTGTCCAGACTGGTACTTGGCTGGTCACTGCAAGGCCTTTTGGCAGCTGGTTCCTCATGTATCTTAGATGTTGGTGTTTCTTCAGAGTTTTTTTACAGTTCCAGCATGAGCATTTCTTTGATTTGCCTGGCATTCCGTGCATTAGAAAAGAATCGCTCCTTATACCTAGAAAGAACAAAGCAAACAACAATGATGAATGATATATAATTAATAAGCATGCAGTTATTCCTGTCCTTTAAGAAAAAAAGACAAATCAGAGCACTTTTAAATAAAACAATTAAAGGTAAAAGCAAAAATTAAACATAATCACCTTGGATCAAGTAAAGTAGCGATGCCATAAAGAGGGTTTTGCTCCATGTCAGTGAAGCGCTTCTGCAAAGCAGCAAGTAATGTGCTCTTCATTGTTTTGATACCATGGTCATCATCCACATTCGATAGCACTCTCTATACCACAGTGAGAGCAGGAATAACATCTGAGGCAAAAGCATCAGACAAACTCAGTTGACGAGTCAGCTCTTCAAAGGGAGTCAAGATGTTCAGCATCTTCTCCATGAGATTCCACTAGCTTTCAGTAATAGTGACAGGGAGCTCATATTCTGATGCATACACTCCAAAGGCCTGTTTCTACTCAGTCAGAAACTGCAGCATGTAAAATGTGCTGTTCCAATGAGTCTGCATGTCTTTCTGGAGCCTTTTAACTGGCTCACCGAGTTGTTTCTGGATGTTCTGTAGCCAAGAGTATGCCAGGTTGGAATGTTTGAAGTGGCCGACTATTCTGTGCTCGACTCCAACAGCTTTTGCAATGCTGCACTGTGATAACAGATCCTCAGAGACAGCTAGCTGCAGTGTATGTGCCACACACGAAAT